AGGTTCAGCCTGAGCTCTACAAAAATAATGAAATGGATTATTTTACTATTTTACTACCTAATGTAATGTTTTGCTTGCCTTGTGACTAAAAAAAAATATGCATTTGTAATCTGTTCATTAGAGTAAGTTATCTTCTGAAGTTTTGAGTGAAAAAGAATCTTTTCATCTAGAAATTAGTGATAAAACATTTTTAATTGAAAAAGTGTAACCATCATTAGTTTCATAATGTCATTATTATAGAACAATGCACTATGCTGCACGTGTTATATACAAATGAAATTCAAATGTTGTAAGAAGAATAAATAAAGGGTATTAAAACAAGCTGTTTGAGCTGAAAATTATTTTTCTTGATTTGCCAAACGGTGCTAAAAGTTTTTTGTTGTTCTTAAACTATTTTTTTATATTTTACTTTGGAACTTGCAGTAAACTATTCAAGAAAATGCCTGCTTTAAAGGCCTGCACTTTATTAAAAAAACATACATCACAAGACTTAACCTTGTGTCACCATGCAACTTCAGCTGGTGCAATGTGGCACAAAGGTGTTAAAAGCCAAATAAGTAAATAAGTAAGTAAGTAAGTAGGTAAGTAAATAAATAAATAAATAAGTAAATAAATAAGGGACAAGACTGCAACTTATCTATAGCACTTTGAACACTATTGTTGGCCACTATTATCAGAGTGGCCAACACAAGCCACGTGTTATTAAGTTATAGCAGAATTAAAGACCCAGAGTAATGGTTTAAAATATGCTGCTGTAAAGTTAGATCATTTTATATTATAGTATTTACTAGTCAGTTTGAGCTGACAATACCAAAAAATAAATGAATAAAATAGAGATGAAAATGTTAATAAGATTCAGTGGTAGCTGTCCCTGACATTAAACCTGCAGATGTCTTCATCAACATGTTTATTTGCTCAGAAGGTACCTGAGCCAAACCACAGAACAGGAAACTGTATCACTGTGCTGTTTTGTAGTTTTGGTTTAAGTGGCGTACACGAATATTACGTGCAACACGTTCCCATGATACTGAATCGTTTTTTCTGAATTGACCTTTTTAGAGAATGTGTGCACATTATTATTTTTTGATGCACTTGCAGCATTGTCCAGTAGTTTTATTCCAAATAGTAAAAGAAACCAAACAGGCAAAATGCAACAATTCCTTTGCATAGATGACTCACAACTATTTTAAGATTTAAAGGTTTTTGTTTTAAGCAAAACATCTGACAGAACTTCTTAATTCAAATTTGCTGACAACAGTAAACTCAAGCTTACATCAAACATTTTGTTCATGTTTCATTATTTAAACGGTCTTGGGCAGATGTTTTCTAAAGTAGATACAGCGGGTAAAATAAGTGTTGAACACGTCAACATTTTTCTCAGTAAATATATTACTAGAGGTGCTAATGACGTGAAATTTTCACCAGATGTTGGTAACAACCCAAGTGATCCATTCATACAAAGAAATCAAACCATAAATGTCCAGAAATGAAGTTATTTGTAATAATGTGGAATGGCACAGGGAAAAAG